TTTTTTACATTTTCTTAAATTGTCAAACATTTTTATTATTAAAAATATTTATTAATTTTTTTCCTCAATCTCTAAATCCTTTTAATATAATATGTTTACTATCTAGAAAAACATATAAACAAACATTGGCTCGTATAGACGCACAAGTTTCAAACTATAAAAAAACAAGGTTAAGAAGACATTACAAAAGTTCAACTACTCTTGAAGTTGTTTTGTGACTTGCAAATAAGTAATTTTTGTTTTGTAACAATACTTTTAGTGTATTTATTGTATCAGAAAGGTTTTAGGTCTTATAATGATTACTTGCCTTGCAAATTTTGTTTTATTCATGTTTTTAATTCTATTTTGATTACATAAAGTTTGAGTTATATTACATAACAAATTATAACTTGATGTTTTAAATAAATATGTAAAGATATTTATATTAACTAAAATTAAGTCTAAATTGAGTTTCAGAAATATACATTTAATTTAATTTACATCATAATAATAATAAAATTACTAATATTAATAAAAATAATAAATTTAGAGAATAATAATACGTAACATCTTAATTATACACCAATTTAATTATTATTATACATTAATATAAAATATATACATATAAAAATATTATAAATGATATAATTATATAACTATTTAATTAATTCTTCAAATCATGAAATTTTTTATTTTGGTATTACATCCATTTATTAGATATAACTACAAAAATTAAATATACATACTTAAAAAACATTTACTTAAATATAATATTTATTTTACTATTTCCCGTAACTTTTCAACTTAATTTTGACTTGCAAATAATTTCAATGAACACTGAAAATTTTTTGTCATTCAATTTCTGTGACGTTAACAAAAAAAAACACTAAAAAAACAAAAATGTAAAATAAAGAACAGTAATTATATTAGTAATTATATTATTTTATTATATCCATTTGAATAAAAGGAATATTTATGAGTAACGTGCTTTAAAAGAGCATAATCTATGACAATATATTCCATGTTGGGATTAAGAAGTGGAATGGAAAATGGGGAACCCCAAATGTTGGTCAATTGGCCAACATCCCATGCTTACACACCTCTTACTATAATATACAGAGTAATGCTATTATGATTGAAATTCATTTGCAACATTAAAAGGATAAACTAATTATAAAAAAAATATTTATAAAATAAAAAACATAAAAAAATAATGTATAAAAAAACGTGTGTATGTAAAATTATTATTATTCATATATTAATCATAGCACTCTCATATGCACCACTCCTCGTGATCCAATGCCAATTTTTTTCTAAAATCTTAAAATTTTTTGAATTTGTATCATGCTCATGTTTTTCATTAATTGGAAGCACTGAGAAAGCAGAAAGAAACATATAAAAAGTATTTGATGTTTTAGTTAAAGAAAAAAAAAAGGAAATGATACAAAGTTATATAATTGTAAATACAAAAAAAAAATAAAAACAAGTTAAATATATTATAAGTTTAATTAAAGTTAATAAAAAAAATTAAATTTTTTAATTAAATTTTTTTATTGAACACTTAAAACTTTTATATCATTTAATTTTTTTTAACAAGATAATGTGACTATTATTTTATATTATTATTTTACTTACTTTGTTTTCATATTTTAAGATTTTGTAAATAATATAAAATGATATTATGAGTAATATAAAATAATAAGTGATTTTTATTGTTTTCAGGTTATATAACAAAAATAGTCTAATTTTAGTCGCGATAAGTGATAAATAAGAAAGAACCAATCTATAATAATGATCTCTTAGAGGTTATTGAAAAGTATGACAATAATTGTCCAACACAATTTTATAACAATAAGAAAAGTCATTTATTATTTTACATTAACAACAATATGGTCTAATATTAACTACAAAACTTCTAATCTTTTAACACACGAATACATTTTTTAACATGTGGATAAAGTAAAATGACTAATAAGATAACAATCACGTAACTTAGTTATTGAAAAAAATAATAATAAAAAAAACTAATTAAATATAAAAATTTGGAATACTCAATACATAAAGAATTTAACAATACTTCAATTTAAAACATCAAAATTTATTAAGAACAAGTTAATTGATATTCTAAATTCTATATATTTTCAACTTGGTAATGAATATATTAATAAATAAATATATCTGAAATTAATTGATTTGATAACACTTCCAACTCAAGTGCTTAGATGTATTAAGTTAAGTACGTAATACTGCTTTTATCGAAGTAAAATAATGTTACATTCTATTACTTGAGTGAGTTCTTTAAATAAGTAATACTGTTTTCACTAAAAAAATCTAATATAATATAACTTAAGTTAAATATTCACTAACAATCTAATTTTGGAGTGTTTTTCTTTGGAACTTAATAATATGAAAGAAGAAGAAATTACAGATTCCACATTGCATGTTATGAGAAATAGAAAAGGATAAAATAGTTTTAAAAAGTAGTTTCATATATTTTTCTCGTAATTAGAAAATATTTTTTATTTAGGATCCTTTGTTCCATTTCTTTTCTTATCCATAGAACAAAATCATTCACTTTTAAATCCTCCAGAACCACAACCATAAATCATAGATATTTTTATTCCATGACGTGTTATAATATAGTACTGAGTAATCACTAAGAAGAAGACACCTTCTTTTTTCCTTACAATGAACCACAAGAAACTGGTATCCAAAAATAATGGCTGAATTGGCTTGGCATATTCTTCATCCAATAGGTGAAATCACAGCCTGTGTTTGAAGTAAAAGGTTATGGCTCGTCATCACAAGAAAGAAAATGATACAAAAAAAGTATACCAATTCAATTAACCATCAAACCTTTTTACTCTTTATTATCATTGGATTTTCACTAAAGGAATTATGGCTTCTTTTACCGAACATCGATGACCGTAGATATGTATCAAAGAATTTCGGCCGGTTTCATTAAAGGTTAGAGACCGCAAATCTTCACTAAAAGAATTCCGGTCAGACTCATCGAAGATCGACGATAGTGGATCTTCACCAAAGAAATCTTGGCCGATCTCATTGAAAGTCAACAACTGTGGATCTTCACTAAAGGAATCCTGATTGGCTTCATCGAAGGTCGACGATAATGGATATGCACCAAAGAAATCCTGACTGGCCTTACCGAAGGTCGGCGACCGTGAATCTGCACCAAAGGAATCCCGGTCGGCCTTACCAAAAGTTGGCTACTGTGGATCTTCAACAAGAAAATCTCGATCGGCGTCATTGAAGGACAATGACCGTGGATCTTCATGTTAGGACACCCGATTGGCCTCATCGAAATTTAATGACCATAAATCTCCACGACATGTCACTTAAGTAGGATCAGTAGCCTATTCAGCTCGGCCAACAAAGGCACAACCTATTTTAGTCTTACAACCAATCATCTTAATTAACGAACAAAAAGGACATAGAGACAAAAGTCAACCAGAAAACTTGTCCTTATCAGGAAGGTCATGTACAGAATCCCTTCACAAAATAACATCATGCTCGGGCTTGGGGGCTTGTGTACCGTACGGTCCACCACACCGGTGTGTATTGTACAGTCTGCCATGGTAACAAGCACCATCCAGGCCATCCACCCATGTCGTCCTCCCAAGTCATCCTCTCAAGCCGTCCTCCCAAGTTCGTCCAACCATGTCGTCCTCCCAGGACGTCCTTCCAACCAGGTCGTCCTCCCAGGACATCCTCCCAGACCATCCTCCTAGAGTCGTCCATCCAGGCTGTCCTCCCAAGTCGTCTTTCAAAGTCCGTCTACCTAGGTCATCCTCATAGGTTGTCTTTCCAAGTCCGTTCAACCAGGTCTTCCTCCCAGGCTGTGTCTAGTGGTAATGACTTATTAAGCCTCTAATGCAGATTAAAGTGTGATTGGGCCGTTATTAGGCCAACGAAAGATAAAGGTCCATCACAACTAGTATAAATAAAGGTCTCATGTATGACTTTAAGAGGACGATGCACAATATATGTATCACTTATTGTGCCAACCGTTTGGTTACTTTACTAACTTGAGCATTGAAATGCATTTAACAATAATTCACCCATATTAATTGAACAAGGAGAAGAGAAAACGAATAACGTAACTTAAAAGATGGATAACCACTATAAAAGTGTCCAGTTGACAATTTGAAGTGATTTGGGTAAGATACTTTTACCATGTCCCTGAAACCGTTTTTAACCGTGTTTTTTCTATTATTAGTATTTACTTCATATATTACGTTTTGATAGTAGATTAAATAATGCAGTGAGTATAAAAGCTAATATGGGTTGGATTACAATGGGTTGCATCAAATATAAATTAATATACCTACTCGTTATTCAATCTGTAAAAAGATTCTAAATCGGTATTAGAATATTTATTTAAAAAATATCAACATATATGAATAATAACCTTACAATTAGACATTAACATATTTATTATCTATTATCTACATGTATCTATTAATCGTTAATTTTAATTATGCATTTCGAATTTTATCCGTTGTATTCATGACAAATATTTTTATCTAACTCTAAATTTATTACAGAATCAAAGTACACTTTGTTTATTTGTGTTTACTAGTTATTTGTAAAATCCTATCAATTAGAAACGAATTTTCAAACTCAAATTTTCTTTTAAAATTTGTTTTCATAATAAAATGACAAGGGAATATAAGAAAGCCAGCAATTGCATGTTGGATTTGGCTGCTTTCTTTCCAGCATAGTCATCAATGGAAACAGATTATTATCATTATTATGAATCATGTTTAATGAGGACAAATTATCATGAATAAGCAGAGAAACCAGTAGACTAAACTGGCCAAGAGTCGTTATCTCCCTGTCCCTTCCAATTAATATAAAATTTATGAATTACTTATAAATACAGACATTTGCTACACTCTAATTCCATACTAAACTTCATCATTAATTAGCACACATTACAAAAAAATTAAAAATCAAGAAGCCAAAGGATCTCACTCAGTATAAAGAATTTATGAAAAAGAAATTGGTGAGAATATATAAAAATAGTTGTTTGTCTGTGATGATAAAAAGAAAAGGCAGAAGTGAATAACAGTGAAAAATCCCTTTCGTCCTTTAGCTTCGCATCTTATCTCTGGTGTGGGTATGTATTTGTGAAGTGTTGCTAAAGCCACAGAGAGAAGAGCAGGTAGTAGGCAGCCAAGACACCAACCACACCATGTTCTTCTGCAACCAACCCTAAATAACTAAAATATCACAACCTCCAACTAAGCTACAACTGTAACTTCTTTCTCCTTTTTCACCTTCACCGACTTCCCTTCATTCTTTATATTTTCACTTCTCTTCTCACTTTCAATATCACCGATCACAATTACTCCGTTCCAGATTTCGATATTCAAATGGACGACAATAACCAATACCCCATTCTCACGCCTTCAGGATTACCTCGCCAAAACAAACCCTCTATGTATCTAACTTATCCCTTCGCTCTTCACAATTTCTTTTTCCATTTTTTCTTTAATTAATTAATTACTTCACCCATGAAAATTGAAACAGTGCAGAGGACGACGTCATGGAGCTGCTATGGCATGACGGCCAGGTTGTGATGCAGAGTCAGAACCACCGTTCTCTAAGAAAACCGATGCCGCCGCCCAGAAACTCCCACGATGCCTCCGCCGCCGGTCCCTCCGAGGACAGGGAGATTCGACCGCAGCTCGACAATTTCAATCAACATCTCTTCATGCAAGAAGGCGAAATGGCTTCCTGGCTACACTATCCAATCGACGTCGACGACGTACCTCCGTTGGATCAGGCTTTCTGCGCCGATTTCCTCTACTCACCGCCCACCGTTAACAACAGCACCGCCATGCAAACTCTCGCCACGTCTCAGCTTACAGACCACCGCCCCATGTCCGCACCGCCTCGACCTCCAATTCCGCTGCCGAGACGGCTGGAACCGAAGACGCCGAACTTCGCGTACTTCGCGCGGCACAACACGAGAGCCGCCGAGGAGAGCGTGAAGGCAGCCGCGAAGGAATCCACAGTGGTGGATTCTTGCGAGACGCCGGCCGCAACGGCAGCGGCGGTTTCGAGAGTTTCGGAAACTTTGAGGAACGCGGCGGAACCGACGGAAGGAGGCGCCGGCGGTCCGGTGCCTTCAACGAGTGCCGGTGACGGAAGGAGCACGATGATGTGCGACGTGACTATGGCATCGTCGCCGGGCAGTTCGAGTACTAGCGGCGAGCCAGTTCAGGTGGCGCAGGCGGAAGAGCGGAAGCGGAAGGGTCGGGAGGCGGAGGAATGGGATTCTCAGAGCGAGGTGAGTGAATTGAATTGACTCTTTGGCTCTCACATCAAATCATAGTTACAGTTTACAAATTTCGTGTACGTTGGCATTTGCTATCGTGCGCCGGGTGGGTGACGCGGGTTTACGTGAGCACTCCCCTTCCTGCTGCATTCATTTCGGTGCTGTGGCCGTGCGCACTTCTGATACCGTCACTTTCACCGTCGTGGCTGCGCATGTCCACGACACGTGTATGGATGGCATGAATGTCTAACTTTCGTGTTCATGGAAATGATTGAAGATATTTTAAAATTGGATTTAATTTAAATAGATTCGCAATACTAATCTTTTTAACATTAATATCTAATCATAAAATTATTTTATTTGAATAGTTATTTTAAAATTTATATTTAAAGTAATATATTTATTAATGTAATTGTCTATACTAATAATGCATACAAATAACTCTTTATAATAATTTTCTTTTCAATGATTAATTAAAATACCTTAATCAATTTTTTATACTTTTGATATATTTTAACTAAATTCTTTAAGTTTAATTTTGACACGTAATTTACACTGACAACCAGTATTTAAGTATGAGTTTTAAGGAATTACAAAAAGAATCGGCGATTTTTTTAACAATTTAGGATTGATAAGGTTAAAAATATGTTAAGTTAAATTAAAATCTATAATTTTTCTGTATAAAAACGACTGCTGATAATTAGGTCATAGATGGTAAAAAATTTGTCATAGTAACGACGGAAGAAATGATACTTTTACACCCATAATTCTTTTTTTACATTTTAATATTACTTATTTTTCATTTTTTTTTCTTTTTTAAAAGTACAAAAATTTATTTTTTATGACTATTTTACTTCTATGTTAAATGTATATTAATTTATCATGAATCAATGACTCAATGACTTGTATTAAAAAATAATATTTTCACACTAAATTTTTTACATTTGATATTGTTTTTTTTACTGATTTTTTTTTAAAATATATAAAACTTCACTTTTTTATAATTATTTTATTTTTATAATATATTAAATAAATGTAAATATATATGACCGTGTCATTACTTATTAAATTCAAAGCGATACATTTCAATTCAACGTAAATATATTTAGCTATTTGCTTGTGAAACACTTGAACCTCAGTGTTTTGTTTTACTTTTATGCTTTCGTTCTGAAGGGGCCTTGGAAGGGTACGCATGCAAATGGAGGAGTAAAGGTATCAACACTACGACATTAAATCAAATTTCAAGATTATTATGACGATTGAAGTGACTCGTCGAATGCATTTGGTCGAATTTAAGTATGGTTGATGAGTACTTAAGTTAGGGAGTAAGCTTTTTGGTTTAAAGTTAGGGAGTGATTTTCAAGTGTGTGCTAAAAATAGTAACTAAGTTCCAGCGTTTTAAGTTGTCATTGTCAAAGGTAAATAATCAATTAATAATGTGCTGAGGCATGATTTCACACAGTTTATACATGGCTTGTGCTGGAGAGACATTTTCTCACCCTTTCTCTTTGATTTCGTAGATGTTAGTAGTTCAACAAAGCAGAAATTACCATACCTATGAATGGATGATCTTGTGATCGTAAAATATAAGTTTGATTTGAGTAATCCAACTATAACAGATGCAGCTATGACTATTAGCTAAGCTTATATGCATATCCTATTATCATTTTTAAGTTTCCTGACCTGGTGGTGTGAGATGATTTCGTTTATTACCCATGACATGTGTAATGACTTTGTGGAAAACTATGAAATTGTTAACCTTTCCCTCTTCAAATTTATTGTTTTCTTAAACTAAAACTAAGTTCTAATATCCCTAATAAGATAGTCTGTTTCAACCAATTGGGTATGACACAGGTCAATAGCTCACTAGCAGTTTTTTCTCTCTAACTGTTATTCTACGTTATATTTAAATTTCACTAATTTCTTCTTCTATATTCTTATTTCATTTTGTCCTGCTGGAAAAAAAGGATGTTGATTTTGAATCGGAAGCAAAGAAACAAGCTCGAGGATCAACATCTACAAAGAGATCACGTGCAGCGGAGGTCCATAATCTCTCTGAGAGGGTATGTACTTTCATTTCTTTTTTGAGTTCACATCTTTTATACGCCTTTCTTTCTCAGAACATAAAAGCTTTCACTTGGCATTTGCACACAGAGGCGTCGTGATCGGATTAATGAAAAGATGAGAGCTCTGCAAGAACTTATACCTCGATGTAATAAGGTAAACGGACTTGTAAAATTTCTAACTTCTCAAGAATGGGCAGAATTTAGATTTTATTTCCTTAATAATTTCTTTCTAATTCTGGTCCCTATTTTGAATTCATAGTCGGACAAAGCTTCAATGTTGGATGAAGCAATTTCGTACTTGAAATCATTGCAGTTACAAGTGCAGGTAGACTCTTCGTTTTTTTGTAGATGGAGTTTGTTTTAATTCATTTCCATGGATACTGTATTGTGTGTGACAATAACTTTCTTAGACTGTTTAATCTGTGCTCAGTTCATGTTTTGCTTTGAATGTACCGTCTTCCAGTGCTAGGTCACATACAATTTAGATGAAGGGCTTTAATATTTTTCATTGAGGTGCACACTAGAATTAGAATGTTCATATTCTATACATAGTGTATCAAGTTATTCCTTCCATGTTATGTACTTTCATGTCTTACACAGATGATGTCCATGGGATGTGGCATGGTACCTATGATGTTTCCTGGAATCCAGCAGTACATGCCAGCAATGGGGATGGGGGTTGGAATGGGTATGGGAATGGAAATGGGAATGAACAGACCTGTGATGCCGTTTCCCAATATGTTACCTGGTTCTGCTTTGCCAGCAGCAACAGCAGCGGCTCATTTGGGACCAAGGTTTCCAATGCCTCCTTTCCACATGCCGCGTGTTCCTGCTCCCGATTCTTCCAGAATGCAAGCAGAAAATCAGTCAGATAAAAATATGGTTGCAGCTGGTCCACTTGATCCAAACCACTCACGTCTCCCAAACTTCACGGATCCTTATCAACAATATCTTGGTCCCCACCAGATGCAGTTTCAAGTAATTCAGGTACTTTGTCCTCTAATACTATTTCTCACTTGAATTTTTTTCTTAAACTACGTGTGAAGTAATTTGTTGCACGTGAGGTCGTCCATTAGATTTCCTGCCACCATGACAAACTATTTTACTTCGGTGCATCTTGTAGTACCCATCTTAGAGATCACTGCAAATGATGTTCTGATTGTGTGCTAAAAAGTATGTCTTATGTTCCTGATAACTCATACATCAGATATTGAATTCTGATTTTACTTATAGCTCCCTCTTAATTGGGAAGAAAAAGTCTAACTAAAGAAAACTCAAGTTTAGCAAAGTTGCTTATATTTTTTATTGTCTAATCGAGCAGAGTACGAACGTTTATGAATTGAGCTGTATTTGCGTGTGCAGAATCAGGCAATGAACCAACCAAATGTTGGCAAGCCCAGTACCAGTAGGGATAATCCAGAAAGCCGTTAGTCAGGTGAGAATTTATTCTACAAGCCTTATTAACATACTGAAAAAGTATAGTTTGCCATGCAATCTGGTTCTTAAATTTTAATTTTTGCTTACTGTGTTCTTGCGTCATAAGCTTCCGGAGCATGATAATTTCTGGCAGCTTTCTACGTATTAAAAATTCTAAATATATAATGCAAACATGGCTACTTCTAAATATTTCAATGTTTTTATCATTCATCAGGGGAAAAATTATTGTTATAGTTACAATGAAGGGGGTGACTATTCAAATGGTGCGGCATATAGTTGTATAGCTTTTTCCACTAGCACTCACAATGGTGGTGTGAATTGAAAGTCCTGAATATATTTCACAAAAACAGGGACAACCATAATTAACAATCGACCGTGTGCATTGCAGATTAGATTTTCCGACACCTAAATTACAGGTGCCAAAGTTTTGTAGTTTCAAGAGAACGAACTTTTTAGCTGTTCTCAGTAGCAAGCTAATCTATTCTATACACAGCTAACATGTAAATTATTGCAACGAAGTTTTCCCTGTCTTCAACTTTCATTTTTAGAGAGTGTTTGATATGAGACGAGGAACTCGATAGATGGCAGAACAGATGAAGTTGCATTTTAGTCCACATCATACCTTCCTACTTTTAGTCTTGTGTTTCAGATTCATTATGTAGTACCATTTTCTCTTGTTAAACGTTACAGGAGCATGTGAACTTCGTTACTATTATTTATGAAAGTGAAATTGAATCACTTATCTACATAACCCAGATAACGATTCTGTCACCATGCACAGTTATATGATTTGAAAGCATCCTAGAATTTGTGAGTTGAACTCTCAAATTAACACTTAAAAGTTATAAGATTAGTTTGTAAGAATTAAAAAAAAAAAGAGAGAGAGAGAGATTTTCGGTTTATTCTAATAATATAATGTTAATGACTGATATTTGTTTATAAAAAAACTGTATCATCTATTTTCTCTCTTAAATTAGTGAAGTTTTAATTATTTGTAAAAATTAATACAATTTGAAGGAAAAATATTTATGAGATATTTATTTTTGTAGAAAAAATATTTTATAACAAAATATATTATTTAGATAAAAAATATATAAGTAAATTGAAATTATTTTTTTATAGATCAACTAGTGCAGCATCTCTACTCAGGATCACCTTTTCTACAAGCAGATGTCATGATCTTTTCTACGAGTATGGGTGTCATTTTAGCTTATCAATCCAGTATGTAAAGATACCTTGTTTTCTTGTCATTTTTTTAATAAATAAATTCCAACAGACATTAAAAACAACACATCAAATAACTAAACTTAGAAAAAAAACAATAAAAACAGAACACATCAAATAACTAAAATTAAAAAAAATAACAAAATCAGGACATATTAAATAAATAAATAAAACAAAACCGGATTTCAAAATTCTATACGTATCTTCAACTCGATTTTGAAATATAGTATATACCCTCATTAAATTTCGCAATCTGGTATATATCCTAAATCAAGATTTTGAAATTCGATGCGTCCACTCCACAAACTTAACTGAATTTCAAGTACTTACCCTTCACGAACATCAATTAAGGGCATGCTTACCTTAACAATGGTGACAAATGACGAGAAATATCACAAAGAAAGATGAAGAAGGAGGTGCAACGATGAGAATGCAAAAAAGTGCAAGACGTGAGAGTGTAGGGTGTTGATGAAGATTACTGAAAGTGAGAATGAAAGAAGGGTGCAAGAGAGTAAGAGAAGAGTAGGTGTGCACAATTTACAGGTGCCATGCAAGAGATGAAAGTTATGAAAGAGAGAAGAGGTTTTACCCTACTTAACCTTTTTATCATAGTCAAAGTCAAAGGTTAGTAATGACCTTTTCAAAAAGTTAGGGTGCAGAAAAACAAATATAGGGTGCAAGAAGAAACCTCCATAAATATTTGGTCAAAATCTGTCTCTGCTTAACACAAATTTCAAATGGTCAAAATGAAATTACCAATCACTCATTTCCTTTTCTAGTCCCTAATTCGATAAAAGAAATATGTTACTATCAATAATATCTTTCACTCTACTTTTTTTTAGTCTTAATTTTGTTCAGACATCATTTTTCCATTACAAGAAGTAAAGAAAAAGACCGAACTTTGCATTATGTTACTAAATAATATGAAAATAATTTATTAAAGCGAAGCTACATTCATAAATTAAAGTGTTTCTTGCAGGTCACCTCATTTACACTGATATCGAGCGAACAAGAAATTAGAAGAGACGGACCGATCAGTGAGGGAGGAGTTTCCGGACGGAAATAGCAAGAGTTTTCTCCGGTCCCATTCAGCAGAAACATAAAGTAAAATTTGTTAATTCTTATGTAATTTTTTGTTGACAAAATTACAAACCTTTCTAGTGCAATTTTTTATTGAATAAAATTACAAACTCTTTTCATCGGTAAAAATTACAAAAACTCCAATAACACATAACTCTCCAAGTTACACATACATTACATTGATATTAAATTATGATAATCCCTCTTAAATCAACTCTTGATTTTTATAATAATATTTTTTTAAAAAATAGTAGTTTGACATACTTACACTTATTAATATATCAAATGAGTATAAAAGTATCTCAAGATCAATTTTGTCCATTTTTTTCTCTTTTTCATTTTACAATTTATAAGAAAATTCAAACACGTAGCACCACAAAATAAAACAATTACCATGCCGGCTGGAATTAAAATAATCACCGTGGCCGTCGGGAATATACATTATTAATTAAAATATTTGTTGAATCATTCAATCATTCTAACATTGTATAGGCTCTTCGTACAATGCTCAAAGCATAATTTTCTTGTCTTTTTTCTTTTATGAGGTCATTCATTAGAAAAATTTTAGGTGGACAATCTTAAATTTTCCTACACCAATGAAACACCTAGTAAGAAAAAATACTTTTAATTTTGTAGTTGATTAAATTATTTTATATTTTAAAATAAAAATATTATGTTATTGAAGTTGAATGGATGAAGACTAAAAGATGAGGCGTTTTTCTATCATCTCCCATTCATCAATATTTGTTGGATATACTAACCTTTGAGATACCAAGAACATTGACTTGCAACAACAGTCTTCAATGGATATTTTGGAAGACAAAAAAGTAGAGGATGATGATGCAATGAGAAAACTTTACGATGCATCAATGAAAGGATGTGTCAGTACCTTAAATCAACTGGTCCAGAAAGACCCTCTTATTCTGAGCAGAGTGTCACTCTGCCCCTTCACTGAAACCCCATTACACATAGCCTCTTTGCTTGGATATTTGGAGTTCTGTCAGGTTCTGCTTCGGAATAGTCCCAGTTTAGCCACTGAATTGGACTCAGAAGGACGTTGCCCTCTTCATTTGGCTTCAGCCAAAGGCCACACTGAGGTTGTGAAAGAGCTGTTGATTACAAACCCAGAAATGTGTTTGGTTCGTGACAAAGATGACATGCTTCCTCTCCACTTTGCTTCAATGAGAGGGCGCGTGGAAGCAATGAAAGAGTTGATCAAAGCCAAGCCAGATTCCATTGAGATGGTGGAGAGTGGTGATGAAGATGGCTCTGTTCTGCGATTGTGCGTTCGCTATAACCATTTTGAGGCCTTGAAATTGCTAGTGGAATCACTGAGAGGTGACAGTCGGTTTCTATCAGTCAAAGACAGAGAAGATAACAGTCTTCTGTGCTTAGCAGTCAAACACAGACAAATCAAGGTACTTTTTATTCACACACAAAAAAAGTTGAGTGAATTTCTAAAGGAATGCAAACAAAATTCTAAAGGAACGTAAATGTAATGCCAAGAAGGGAGAGATAGATTGAGAAAAGATATTTAACATTTGTGAATGTGTGACTTATGCAGATAATTAAATACCTGCTTTCAGTATCTGAAATGAGTCCAGAAACAAGAAATTTGAATAGGGAGAGTTTAATAGCTATGGAGACATTGGAGCAGTATCCAAGAGATTTTATGACGCAACAAGACGTCTTAAGAGAAGGAATTGAAGAGCCTGCACATGAAGTTTCCTCAGAAGACCAAAGGACTCTGTCAATATCTAGACAGGAAGAAGCATCCTCACAAAGCATAGGTGTTGTGATTGTGCAAGAAGATCCTCCCCAAGCATCATCATCACCATCATCCTCACTAACCAACAATGATACTCCACAAACATCAGCAGCATCCTCACTGGCCAGAAACGATCCTCCAGAAGCATCAGCGGCCCCAGTGCCATCACCAAAAATGAACATGAGTAGCGAACAAGGAGAGGACAGGTGGAGCAGATTGGAGAGATTCTGTAGAACATACCTGCTAGACGAAGGGAATTGGATAGACAAAAAGACGAGGGAGCAATTGATGGTGGCAGCAACTGTGATTGCAACGATGACGTTTCAGTCAGTGATAAGCCCACCCGGTGGTGTATGGCAAGGCGATACAACAAAAGATGGGTTTACATGCCCTGATTACGGTTTCTGCGAAGCAGGCACGGCGGTTGTGGGTTATGCTTGGTCACCAGATTTTATGAAGTTCATTTTCTTCAACTCTTCTTCTTTCTTTTCGTCACTGTGTGTGATGCTGCTTCTCATGAGCGGCTTTCCGCTTGAAAACAGGGTGGTCATGTGGATCTTGGCCATTTTGATGATCGCTGCAGCTTCCTGCATGCTCCTCACCTACATGTGGGCATTGGGCTTGGTTAGTCCCAATCATATTTACTATAGAATTCGTAAACTGGGCTATCTATTAGTTGGTACCTGGTCTCTGTTACTCGCTCTCGTTGCTTCCGTACAATTAAGCCGAATAGCGTTCTGGATTAAGTCGCGTCGCAAGAAATCAACAAATGCTCCACTCTAACAATGGGAATTTGTTGCTTTCTTTACTTCCCTTGATCGTATTAATGCTCTGAAGAATTTGGTAGTGTAACATGTTGGAATGTTCTTAGGCCCAAGAAACTGTGTGCTAGTCTTCTCAGGTGTAGACTCACTCCCTAGACTTTCACTTCCCGACTATACTGCCCCTGCATTTTCTTAATATGCCTGTTCACATTTATTTAGTTATGTTAAAAAAATTTGGCTACATAGAAATAGACTAATTTCACGTTGGTGTTTCTTTCCATGTCTCTCTTTTTTCTTCGTAAATCTCCAAAATTACAAATATAACTTCTGAGAATAAAAAATTAAATTAAACAATTATAAACAAATAACAAAAATCAATATAATTTCAAACAACAACAAAATTATTTTAATAACAATTATTAAATATTGAAAATTTATTAAAACATACAACACATAAAATTAATAATTAAAATTAAATAACAAAACATACAATTTGAAATAACACTAAAAAATTACTTTAAATTGTTTAAAAAGAACAATTTAAAATAACAATTTATTATTTTAAATTGTATGTTTTTTATTATTTAATTTTAATTGTTAATTTTATGTTTCATTTATTTTAATTAATTTGCAATATTTAATCATTTATTTATTTATTTATTTATTTTGAAATTGTATTGATTTTTGTTATTTTGTTCGTAATTGTTTAATTTAATTTTAGTTTTTTTTAGATATTGCAATTGTATTTTGTGATTATTTTTTATTTGAAATTTTGTTAAATTTTGTTAAATTTTGTTAATTGTTTTTTTTTCTGTTTTGTTTATTTTATTTTGATTTGTATTTTGAAGCACATTTGTAATCAATTTTTGAAAGTCGATTAAGAAATCATCAGTTTTTAAAGTCAATTAAGAACTAATCAATTCTTAAAGTTGATTAAGAAATAATCTGTTTCTAATATCCAATTAAAAGATTGTTAGTTTTCAAAAATTTGTTAAGAGTTCATCAACTTTTGAAAGTCAATTAAGAAAAAAAAAAACGTAAACGTAATCAATTTTTAAAAACTATTGAACTCTTAACAGAGAATTAAGGAATAAAGGGAGTTCACGTTTAGTGGAAAGTCTAGTATGATCTTACATAGACAGTGCAATTAATGATGTGCAATTAATGATGGTCTTATTTATCCACTCTGATTAATAGTTACATAACGAAAACTGGATATAAATAAAATGAAATTGGATTGAAGAAAAATAAAGAAATCATGACTAGATATATAAGAATGAATAAGAATAGATAAAAAAGATACAGTAAATTCTTTAATTTTTTTAAGAAAATATTTCGTTTTTTCTTTATCTCCTTGCGTGAGGATGGCTGTTTTAGTAGATTCAAAACCCTCATCATGCACTACGTAATCCGTGATGGGGATTGCTCTGTAGCTAGGACCGACAATTGGAACGCAATGTTAAGTGAATAATATGAGGATTGGATTTGTTCATCAGGTGCAATTCCCAATAACCAGGAGCTTGATCGTGTTACTCGACTGGATTGAGCAACTCCTACTTAAGGTAGCAGCACATATTGGCAGAAAAGCATACATTGACGGGGAAGAAATGGCGGGAAATTTTCCCATTTGTTCTAAATAAAAGAAAACTATACGTGACTATAGTTCGGTGAGATTAAATCCCATGACAACTTCGATCCATAATCGACCGTAATTCAAACAAAAAAAAATCGTTCACAGCACAAAAGACTATAATAAAGAAGGCCGGGTATATGATAAAAGAGGCTTCACATATAGAGTCCTTCTGGCACCCCTTCTTTCTTCTTAAACATAACTTTATCCTTAGCCTTCTTAAAGTCGGCATGCGTCACCTGAAGATCAAACAAAATGGTCATGAGGGTAAACAAAAACAAAACATAGAAAATTGAATATAGATAAGCAGAAGACCTCAACCTGTAAAATAAGAAACACTTCAAAATACAATACAATTAGGTCCAGAATTACAGTGATCTCCCCTCCCTCCACATAGGCTTGGGATGAGAATAAGCAATCTCTCTAAATTACAAGAAATATATTTAAGGAAGATTGTTTTCCAGTTCCATTTTCTCAATATTCCCACCTCAACTCCCTCCAATTTTTCTTGCAATTTCTTTAATGGTGTGTCTAAACTTACAATATCCAGCCAACCAATGCAATATATTTTCTTATGTTAATATATGAATTTGAGCCATCAAATGAGCTTATCCATACTAATAACTTAGTAATTCCTAACAGTAACAGAGTGTCATAATATATTTCGACAGGGTCACATTGTTTTGGCCATAACTATACAAATATAAAGATAATTCTAACCTTCATTCGGCGTTCCCGTAATGCAAGTAAGCCAGCTTCAGTACATATAGCTTTTATATCAGCTCCAGAGAACTCATCCTTAGTCATAACAAATTCTTCTAAGTTGACATCATCAGCTAATGTCATCCTTGATGTGTGAATCTAAATTTCACAGGTATAAGAACTGTTAGTCATTAAAGTAAAATATGCATATTTAAGATATAACAGTGAAACCTGAAATTACGTTTTCACAATACTAGCACACCTACCTGGAAAATGCGTCTTCTGGTTTTGATATCAGGGAGAGGAAACTCAATCTTCCTGTCTATTCGACCAGGACGCAGCAGGGCTGGATCAAGGCTTTCAATTCTGTTGGTTGCAAGAATCACTTTCACATCTCCTCTTGAATCAAAACCATCTAACTGGTTCAGCAACTCCAACATAGTCCTCTGAATCTCACGTTCTCCACCTGAGTGGGCATCATACCTGCAAAGCATACAAGAGACATACTAAGAATTGTCTAAGATATCACTCTTCTACCTGTCCCACACCCTACACCCCCTCTCCAAAGATAAGTATAAAAGAAAAAAACTCAAGAGAATAGAGGATAGATAACGTATCAGTAGTGATTCCTGAAGCTAATATTCAATAATTTACCTCTTCGTACCAACAGCATCAATTTCATCAATGAAAACAATAGATGGGGAAAGATCATCAGCAACCCGGAAAAGTTCCCTTACAAGTTTTGGACCATCTCCCAAGTATTTTTGTATTAATTCACTACCAACAACACGTAAGAAGGTTGCTGATGTTGAGTTTGCCACGGCCTGAAAGTAAAAAGGCTTTGTTAGACCAAACTGAATAACAATACCAAAGTTGACACTGATACAAGGATCAACAAACGCATCATAATTGCATACTGATAAAACTATAATTACAGTAAACATTATGCAAAACATCAAAAATATTTAACAGATAAAATTTACTTCAAATTTTGTTAGTTTCTGTTTCCAAAAGCGAACAGCAAGTTGCTACTTATTAACCAACTTTTGATTTAATTAAATGATGTTTGACGCAACAAAGAATAAACAACTTGACATAGGACTATTAAATTCTAACACAATATCAATTTAACTTTAGCCGAATAAAAAAACGTTTAAAAAGTGACTATTTTTTGAATGAAGAAAACTTTGAAAAAACGTACTTTATATCTTTCAGGATTAGTTTCCATATTTCCTCGTTTACCTAGGATTATGATCTAGACAAAAACATGCCAGTGGTTCATATCTTGTGACATAATACATCAAAATGCTTGGAAAATATTATTCAGTTTCTATTCTCTCAATTTCCTCCCTTAATTCCTAGAACTTAAATTCTATCAAGTTCATCAATCACGGATTAATAATTAAACATTAAAAAAAGACAATTCTTCTGCAAAATGATTATGAAAAGCTGAAGGGTCTAAAACAAGACATTTACACGTTGTCCTCCATTATCTGTAAAACCGCTGACTAATAAAGAACAAATAACAGAATTTAAGAAAACAGAAAAATAATGAATAAATAAATTTTGCGGACAGACATTAAAAAACACTCTATAACAAACCATATAAACCAGATAATCAATAAAACCTCATTTTCAGAAAGTAGAGATGAACAGAATTTCAAACCCGGTAATTAAACAGATAAAATGAGAAGTTGAAAAGATGTTTAGATATCACCCTATAAGACAAAAAAATGCACACCTTTGCAAGTAATGTCTTCCCAGTTCCAGGTTCTCCATATAAAATGACTCCCTTAGGAGGCTTGATACCAATGTCTTCATACAGTTCAGGATGTGTCAGTGGAAGCTCAACTGCTTCTTTAATTTCCTGTATCTGGGCATCTAAACCACCAATGTCAGCATATGATTCCAAAGGTGCCTTCTCAACCTTCATGACAGAGACCATAGGATCAACTTCATCTTGAAGAAGCCCAACGACAGAGAGAACCTGGTAAAGAACCATACATGATAAGATCAGAAGAAGCATTACCATTCTTGAATCCAATCAAATATCAAATGTGTAAGAAAAGATAACTGATTGAAACATAAAAAACGTCATGTCAACCTCCCATGTCCATTTCTTCCAAAAAGACAGACAGTCCAACAAAAATACCTTTTCACAACTTTTCTCACCTCTTTATAGTTTCCGGTGTCATGGATTACAACTTGCCATGACTAGATTATACCAGGCAACAGCAACACATAATAACTCCTCAAAATGTTGTCCACAAGAACAGAAAAACCTTCAACAGCTCTTAATAGGATAGCATGCCCATTAACTACTTCAACAAGCATTATCTATGAAACTTTTAGTCCTTCCGAATACTATTCGTGTTCCAAGTACTCAAAACATGATTAATTTAAATGTATTAACTGACCTAGTGTATTCCTTGATTAACTAAATATATTTTTAAAACAGATTATAAACCAGAATAGAAACCCCGTTGAAAGGGGGTTTTCGCCAAAAACATAATCAAATTCAAACATACACCCAAACAAGTTTTCAGCCAGAGGTGAAATGTAACAGTTCTATCCCAATTAAAGACGCAATTATATGTTCAGAATTCCGAACATCCCGAAGGTTGTGTACGGAATAAGGACAGAGATTCTTTGAAAGAAGACTGCTCTGCCATGAAGAGCAGTTCAAAGATCTTAACCTTTATTCACCACCAGATTCTTCTATTCACCTACAACACACACCATTTCCACGCAACAAACCCCCACTTCGCCTACCTGAAACACACAATCTAACCACTAAACCCTATCCCCCAAATCCATCACAAAAAGAAACAACATTCAA